TGTGGACAAATACCATTTTAATTCAGCGATTTTTCCACATTGTTTTTGATCAATTAGCTGTCCACAATTTTTCCATGAGAGGCGGTACATTTCTCTTGGCAATTGACGTTGTTTCAACTCTCTCAGTCTGATGGTCACGGGAAAATAAAATAAAATCCAAAATACGTCTAAAATGGCACTTTTTGAAATGAAATTGCCCTCACACTTGCACGTGGCGCGTGCCACCCCTGCACCGCACACTATTCGATTGCCCGTTCGATTCTCTACACGATGCTGTTTTCCCCGTGCCGATCGGGCGCACGGCTACCGAGATATTGCACGGGGAACGGACCCGTGTCGGGCAAATTTAGCCATTTTCGCCCGTTTTTGCCAGCCGATTTATACATGTAAAGTCTATGACGCGAATTTGCACTTTTTGGGCACGCGCCACGCGCTCGCTATCGATCCGATCGAGCCGAGACCGCTCAAAGGCACGTTGTCCATCCTTGTTCTATAACTTGCGCAAATTTCAGCGCGGTAGGTGCAACGGTGTGACCTGTAACCCGCGCTACGTAGCACCATGTCGCGACCTTCGTAATAGACAGAAACTACGCCTTCCTCAAATAGTAATATAGACAAGCGGCTGCGCCACTTGCTTTGCGGCGTAGCCAGAAAATGCCGCACCAGCCAATTTGCTTTCGAATGGTGTTTGATTTAAATCGGTATGTCGTCTGGAAGCAGAGATATGGACGGAAACGTGCAGAGGAAAATTTTGAACATAATAACTGTACTGAGGGCTTAGTTGGATGAAATTTGTGTCATACGGGGTCAAGTCAGGTCAAGATGGTCATCCCTGGTGACACTGGGTCAGGCCAGGTCACCTTCGGTGAGGCCAGGTCGTATAGGTCACCACGTCACATTGGATCGGCCTGTAGTACCACACTTCTACTACTTCTACCCATACCACTACTCCTACCACTACCCCTACCACTACCCCTACCCCTATCACTACCCCTACCACTACTCCTACCACTACCCTACCACTACCTCTACCACTACCCCTACCCCTACCACTACCCCTACCACTACCCCTACCCCTACCACTACCCCTACTTCTACCCCTACCACTACCACTACCCCTACCACTACCCTACTACTACCCCTACCACTACCCCTCCTTCTACCACTACCACTACTACTACCCCTACCACTACCACTACCCCTACCACTACCCTACTACTACCCCTACTACTACCCCTACCACTACCCCTACTGCTACCACTACCCCTACCGCTACTCTTACCACAACTACTACCACTACCACTACCACTACACCTACCACTACTACTGGGTCATGTGAAGTCACAGGCTATAGGATAAACTGATGAACTAAAAAAAAAAGAGTTCCTAACCCTGCTCCTATTCGTGTAATTCCATTATTCTTAGTCGTATTTGGTTGAAATGGCGCATAGTGACAAATGTGGCGCATTGCGACAAAAGTGGTGCATTTATTCCTGTCGTTTTGCCATACATCCTTCCACCGAATTGCACCTTTATCGGACCATATTTGACAAAGTTGTGCGATTTTGGGCAAAAATAGCGCATGTGGACAAATGTGGCGCACTGCGGCAAACGTGGTGCATTTGGTTAAGCGCATTGAAAACTGTCCTTATTTACCGAAAATCAACACCTTCATTCGCCTCTGTTTATCAAAATAAATAACTTTGCCAATCTGCAAATAAGAGGCACCCGCCGCCGATCGTCATGCATTTTAGTTGCAAAGTACATTGAACCTGGCTGCCGATGCCTTGAAGACCGAGCAAATTTGTGAAGAAATACGCACTTTTCCAGGGGTTCCAGGGCGTGCCACGTGCGACCCATCCACCCCCCGAGACCCGAAACACGACACTGCACGTGCCCATGACGTCATCAACACCCTGCGAAAATGTCAGCCCCCTCGACCGCACCGTTTGACCTGCGCACGGCGTCAAAGCACACCTCTGCACGGTGCAAACAGACAGAAAGACAGACAGAGTTTCATTTCACAAATAGTATAGTAGATGAGATACATAACGTGAAAATTCAGACAATTTTACGCTAAATGAAGTCGAAAGAATGATTGAAATGAAAAGTCGGTTCTGGGACTTAAGACAGGCTAGATCGGAAATATCCCTACGGTGGACCGGTCGGCCGGCCCTGGGACGCGGCAGGGCGCTGCGTGTCACCGGGAGTCGGTTACCTGCGGCCCGGGACGGGGCGAGGGTAGCTCGGTGAGGGCGCCGCCGGCGGGTAGAGGGCAGCACCTGCGAACCGCCGGCGGCGCCCCTCAGCGCTGGTGCCCTCAGGGGCCAGCTCGGGCGTAAACTGAGGCTCTGCATAAGTCTCTCTTTGGTCTCCAGTTCATGGCGAACCTGAATACCATCATCAACTGTTGGTGACGTTATAACAGTGGAACCGGTAGTGCTTCGACGGCAGTTTCTTTTTCCTTGGAGCAGTAGAACAGGAACTTTACCCCAACAAATATTGACACTGGTGTTGAGGTGGCACTCCCACGTGCCTATGCTTGTAAGTACACAGTTGCTTGTAAGCGAGTAAATTTGCTGGGAGTGACGGTCACCCCGAGTGACGAAACTGCACACAAATGGCGTGGGGACGACCCTCCGTCCTCTCCCAGAGATTGGCCCTGCACACCTCGTCCCTGCATTGCAGGATGAGTTAGCGAAAGTGTAACGACATGTAGCGCAATCTGCGTGGTTGGACTAGCGGCGGGGCGGCGCGTCCGATGACTGGCAGAGTTGGCACTATGGCCTTCACCGGAATACGCCGGCCGCCGAGCTGAGGCGCCGGGAGGGCCATGGCCAGAGGGCGTGGCTCCTCCTCCCTCCCTCTCTCTCCCGGGCAATACGGGACTCTCATCCTCTTTCTCAATCCTTCGGTGCCCAGCGCGGTGCACGATTAGGGAGAGCCAGAGGGTCACGCCTATGAAATGATAAGGAGCACGAAAGTCGAAATATCGATAGCCGGACAATAGCACCCTAGAAGCAAGGCCCACAGTCGTTCCTGTTTATCAATAACCACAATGGAAGAACCACTGAACAACCACAGCTATATCAGTAGCCACCTCCTATAGACACGGCCACGGGTTTCCCCAGATATATACCGCCGCGCCGTCGTCGTGTCCATGCCGCTCGGAACCTCGACTCACCGACGATAGCCGTGTCGGGACTGCACAAAACACCCTGACTCACCGCCGGTGATACCTGCCTAATTCCCTTCCATCGGCTCGTCACGAAACCCCGGCGTCCTGGTCCGGGGCACCTCCGAGTCCTACAGTGACCTCCAGTCGAACAAAGGGGCGCTTCCCGCTCCCCGACGACCCCGGGCTGCTGGACGGTCTCAGCGCCCAGCAAAACGTCACACTTCCACCAGAGAAGGTAGTGAACGTGAGAACCGATAGGATCGCCCGTCCATCCTCTACACGGAGATGTGAGGAGGCGTGGCTTGATACGCTCGCGGTTTTCGCCATTGATTGGAGTCGATAGCTCATTTTGGAGACTCGATAGTCGATAGGCCGTCTGGAGCCGATCGGAGCCGCGCGGGAATCTCCAGGGTCACGGGGTCAATCTGAGGTGCGAGTCGGAGGTGACGGGGGGAGGGGGAGTGGGATGAAAGAGAGGGTGCGCGTTGCGTGATAAAAGCGTGTGTGGATTAAATTATGAAGTGGGATGCACTGGGGCGATTGAAATTTGCATGCTGTTAAAACTCCTAGTGTCTGTGGTGCTGTTATTCTTTGTACCTACTTGATAAAGTTGTTAGAATGTTCCGTACGCGTCATTCGTCACCACGCGCAAGCTGACTTTGGTTTTGTCGCACAACACGCCTATACAAGTTAAAAACATGCGACTTAAACTTTACTTATGGAGATATGCATGTGTGTCATCTATATACCTAAACAGGCTCGGATATTTTAGGTCCGGAAAGCTGGATTGTTAAAATTTGTGAACAGCAACTTCTGCCAAATTCATTGCCTTATCTGAAAAATGAATATCTACGTATGATTAGTTATGCAGTCTATGCCTACATGGAGGGTATCGTTGCCTGCTGCCTCTCAACTTACCTGGGTCTATAATTAGAACGTCAATATCATAAACATAAGGTCATTTCATCTTAACACACTTTTGCAGGCCGATGAAGGCATTCCGCCTACATTGCGCAAGGTTTTAATGGACATCCCATAAACCAGCCTTCATCCGCCGGTAATCTCTTCATAAATGAATGAAACACGAATGTTCGGAGAAATGGGCACTGCGCTTCGCGTGTTGCGCAGGCTTATATGGTAAGGCCGGAGCCGCCGCGGCTCAGAGGCTCAGCTTGGTGGACGGACCAACTGCTGATAGTATTAGAACACCTCGTGTGTGAACCGCGCTTAGCCTCCCGCAGATAAGGCATCACGGATGAATGCTACTTCGCACCAGTGAATAAACGGCCAAAATAGACTTTAGAGCCTTAGTCATACCGGGCGGACTGATGAATTGTGATTCACGTCGCCTGTGGAAAGCGACGCGTGACGCCGGTAGGGATGCCTTATTTGGAGAAAACGGTCGGCGTGATTCGACCGTATACGTATAGAAGCATTCCAATCGGTGAATAGGAGCGCTTATCGCTTAATCATGTATGTGTTTCTGTGAAATGTAAATATTTGGACCGTTTGATGAATGCGTTCGCTGATTTTAGGACGTTATGTGGTTCACACACTGTTTTAAGTCATGGACTATTATTCGCATTAAATAAGTGTGATATCAATATTGCGCATTACGTCCCCTAGTCGACACATTGGTGGTTAGGTAGGTATACGGAGAATCCGTAATATGTTTCGGCAGTAAGAATTTTGAATTGCTAGCATGTTTAGGTAGGTAATACGCAACAATAATTATTGTTCAGTGTTCATCCGTCCTTCATGCCATATCGATAACCGGTCCCTCTTCTCTCACCACTGTCGTTTCCGACATTCGTGTACTCACCATTTCGTCGAGGCTCTTGAGGTCGTTGGTGACCACCTGTCGGCTGGGGCCGTACACCATGATGGCCGGCGGCTCGTGCTCGCCGACGGCGTCCCCGCCACCCTCCTCGTCTCGGGCGATCTCGCGGTCAATCTGCTGCTCGAACTGCACCAGAATCGGCGCCGCCATGCCGAACTTGGCTCCGCGCCGGGCGATCTCCAGCAGACACAATATCACGTGCTTTTCGTTCTTGCGCGAGACCAGATCCTCGGTCTCGAACATGAGGCAGTCGAGGACGCCCAGCTCGTTGCACCAGCGGATGAAGTTGTGGATGTTGTCGCGCGCGAAGAAGGAGCCGGCACGAGCCTGACGGTTGAAGTGTACCTCCCAGACGGGCACGCGGAACCCGGGAGAGAAGCGGCGACCGTGCCGGATCACATGATCCGCCTCGAATTGCTCCGCTATGATCCGTACTCGGTTGGCGTGCTGTGGGTCAAGCCAGAAGGGGGGAGGGGGAAGTGTCAGCTGGGCTGTCAACAGCATGGAGGCGTGGCATAAGTTGAATGCTAGCTGCATAAACCTTTGTAGCTATTGATGCTTATAATCGCTTATGTGTTTTCGTGTTTGTCGTTTCAAATTGAGAAATGAATGTTCCAACCGAATATGCAGTGCGACTTCGTGTATAAAATGAAGGCGATGATGACCCTTTTGAAAAGTGCGAATGCATTATTAGGCGTAACGTTTAAGATTATACTTGGCATCTCTTAACCCTATTCCTGGCGGGCTCCGCCGGGACAAGAAACTGGCGGGGGGGGGGGGCGATTCGGCCCCCCCTGAGATCTCGAGAACGAAGCAAGATAGCGACAAGCGGTAAACGGCATCGGATACGCACGGTCAAGATCTACAATTTTTACCAAGGTCATTTTCAGGTCAGGTCAAAGATGACGTCACAGGGGTCGAAAAAGTCAAAATGGCGGCGCTGGATATGGAGAGAGTTTTTCTCGAATAACTTTCGAATTAGTCAAGATAGGAACAAACTAAGGGCAGCATCGTGATCCTCTCGTCAATCCGCATCGAATGATATATATGTTGACCTCGAAAGGTCAAGGTCAAAGGTTGACCTCAGGTCACGTGACCTCGAGGTCATCATGTATATCATTCGATGCGTCTTGACGAGCTGAACACAATGAGACCATCCACGCGTCTGTATCTTGTTCCTGTACGGAGTTATTGGCCAAAAACCTTTGGTGACCTTTGATGACGTCACATGACCTCACAGCTGCCCAACAGCAAAACAGACCTCAAGGTAGTGAAGGTTGATCGTATATGAAGTCATGTATGTTATATGGGGCCATTCCGACCCGTTTTAGTGGTAAAAACAGGGAGTTGATTTTTCCCCCATTGACTTATAATGGGGAGGTCGCGAAACTGACCTGACCTTAGGTCACCGATATCAAAATTCCGAGATATACAAATTGCACATACTGGTACCCTAACTAAAACCTGAAGAGAAGAAATTGATCGGTCAAAAACTCTAGCTCTGGCGTGATTGCAAACTTTTCTGAGGTAGGGTCACCAAACCGCCTCTGGTGACCTGACCTGAGGTCAGATCAACTCAAAATTTTCAGACATGTTGCGTAGAAGCCTTTTAGGAAAAGTCAGAAAATTTGAGCTTCCTAGCTCAACGCGTTTGGGAGAAATAACCAAAAAACCTCAGGGGGGGGCTCCTGAGGCCCCCCCCCCGCCAGGAATAGGGTTAATAAGACAGATAGGTATGTGATATAGGGATGACATTCCGCTGTTCATCTGCATGTCTCGATACCTTCGCATCATTTACACGAAGGCCTACACGAGCACCTATTCTCCGTATCTCTCTACCCAGTGTTTGCCGCTCTGTCCGAACGGCAGCTGATCATTATTCAGTCGTGCAGCGACTCAGCGCTGACCCAATGTCACAGCGGTATGATAGATATTCAGCCGACGTCACAGCCGTCCCGGCCAAACAGGGACTGCCTTTTATAGCGCGGCGGATCAGCAGCCAGGCCGCACCTGTGTCAGCGGCGTCGCAAACGACGCCGACGACGACGCGTCACTGTGGCGACGTACACCTGCGATACGCAGGGACAGTTGTGGGGATGACGGCACGACACTCGGTTTACCAAAAACTGAGTGAAACGAAAAAGTTGGTCGTTTCGCCTGTTGACAGCACGAATGTGTTGCAATTAAAAATGTATCTAGATATAGTTATTGTGAGGGAACATGTTTCAATTCAAGGAATCGAACAATGCATTGTCACAAGAACACATATAAGGAAAGTGACCATGAATTGAAGCCTTACGTTGAAAAATATCGAATGAACCTCAACCTTAAAAGTTGGGCATCTATCCAGTCGGTGACTCAGGAGGCAGTTCCGTGTATGGCTTTAAAATCGCAATTCGCACTTTGGGTGAGCATAGCAATAATATAAGTAAGAGTAAGATATGCAAGTAAGATATGCACTATGCATCCAGCACTGTAATATTTTGCTAACATTTTCATTTCGCCGCTTACTGATTGCTGAAGCTGTTTCTGAAACCGTTTGCTTTTAGCGCAATAAGCAACAGCTAAATGCATCCTTTACACACTGAGCCGCCCCTCTCACTGCCCACTTACATTGCAGAGGACGGTGCCCGTGTCGAGGGACTCCATGAACCTCTCTGGGGTCACATCCAGGTCATAGAGCCCGTTCAGCCACTCTGCCAGATCCTCCTTCATGGCGACCAGGTACTCCTCGGAGCTCTGGAAGGGCCGCACGCCGCGTGTGTCGGTCATACGCAGACCGTCGGGTCCGATATCCGGCCCCGTCGGGGGCGCCAGCTCCGGCATCATCGGCATCGTGACGGAGCCGCTGGGAGTCACTGAGAGTTAATCAGAGTCACTGCAGGGTGCTGGGAGTCACTGAGGGTGACTGGGAGTCGATTGGAGTTACTGAACGCCACTAATTGTCACTGGGTGTCACTGGTTAGCACGGAGCGTCACTGAAACTGTGCCTCAGTCACCGCTTAGTTTTGATGGGTCACTAGTGGTCACTGTTTACTGTTCTCAGTCACTGTCACTGCACTTTCTGCTGTCGATCCAAGGTGACCAGTCCGCAGTGTCGTTATCCGCTGGTCCTGCTGGTACTGAGTTCCCTTCAGTCTCCACAGACGTTTGTCGATCCTCCGTATGTTGAGCGGCGCGTAGTCTTGTAGCAGACGTTCCCTCCAGTTCGCTGCCTCGGACGGAGTGCTGCTGTCGCTCCGTCCGGTCGCTGCGCTCGGTGGCCGCTCGGGGTCGGTCGGAGGGAGCTCAGCGGACGAGCGGGCCGCGCGGAGCGTCCGTGCGCCGGCACTGGCCACGGGCACGTGGCTGGCCGAGCCGCCGAGCCGCCGAGCCGCCGCTGCCGAGCAGCCGGTGGCAAGGTTGCGCCGAGGACGGCCCCGGCCCGATACAGCCTCTCGGAGCCGGGCCGACAGCGGCCGCCCCGGACGCACCCTGACCTGACTGACCTGCTGGGATGCAGTGCGACCTGTCGTGACCTGCCATGACCTGCCGTGACCTGTTGGGACGCAGTTGACCTGGTGTGACCTGCTGGGATGTTTTGTCGCCGGAGGAGGCTGCGGTCCGACATAATATCGCGGTGAGCCTGGTTAACTGATACCGTCGCCGTGCGATGAAGTACCATGGAAGGAAGTGGAGGTCGGGAGAGAATTGATTCTCCCTCCCATAGCCTCGCTGATATTGTAATAAGGGGCGATTATTCAGGCATCAATCACAATCACCAGATAGGATGATCGCAAAACACCCTAAACATATTGTAATTTGGGAATTCAAAGTGAATGTTGTCGGGATTTCCCAAACATGAGATATGATATTTTACCCCGTTATTTTTATTCACTTGGCCATAGAAATACCTGCATTTTAATAGCATATGTACATATTTCATGCAATTTTATTTTAGGCTGCATCCTGCACCATGTGACCGTGTTCGATCCATTCTGATCATGATGTTTCTCTATATGTGACGTATCTGGTGTCTCCTCCACCTACTTTGTCGATCCCGCTCAGCCCCGCGTCCTGCTGCACAGGCCGACCCTCCCTAATTTGGTGCGCGCGGAGCGGTCGGGTCCCACGGTCGTGACCCGTTCCCGGTAGCATGTGCCGCTGAAGTGTCACCGGGCCGGCGGGTCTGCAGATTTTTCTCCTGTAACCTACCGATCGTCCTTGTGGGGTCTCATTTTTCCTGGACTCACTCGTCTGACAGATGAGCGCTATCGATCGCTGGTCAGTCGCCATTGCGCGCGGAGTATAGGACCGAAGCTCGTACAAGGCCGATATTGGCTTTTTTATCGGACATGACGCTCCGTCACTACCGGACTGGGGACCACCCGGAGGTGCATATGGCGGAGACACGCCCGGGGACAAAAATGGGCTACCGGTTGGTGATATCTGGTGTCCTGGATGGTGTAGCTACTGCCGGTTCTCAGGGTAGGAAGGTATTTGATTAAACTCGTCTTGGGAAGATTTAGGACACATACGATTTGCTGATGGTTGGGAACCAGCACTGGACATTTTAGTTACCACAAAATTGCTCATGTTGCAGCGCCTGGGTGCAGATGTATTTGTGTCAATGAAGGGTTAGGTAGAGACCATACCTATTTCAAGGAGGGGGACAGGTATGGAAATTGAGATACCATAAAATACTTATAAAATACGGTAAATGAATGCCGTCTTAAATGCCGGACGATTTTAGCTGGACATCAGCTGGAATGCCGAGTTTTCTATGTAATGAAGTTAACTGAAATGATACCCGAGCCCCGAGGTAAGTTCTGCACTACCGGTGACCTCGCGGAACGGCGCGGTACGATGCTGCTCCCGATGCCGTGTCCTTGACTCTGTCTCGGTGGATCGCTGGGAGTCTACACTCGTGTTCCGTGATCCTTTCTGCGTCTGTGTGGGGTCAGGAAGCAGCCGTCGCGGTGAGTTTTCTCACCACTCAGTGTGTGAGAGCGTCTCTGTTCGACCTCCGCCGGGCCGTGACTGGCGCTGAGCCCGTGACTGCGGTCGCCGCCGCGGAGACGCCGGGTCAGTGGTCATTGCCGCGCCGTGCCGTCCGCCGACCCGACTGACCTCTGGGTCTGACTCAGCTGTCAGCCGTGCCGCTCTGGTGTTACCTCACTGATCAGACCTTCTCCTGCCGAGCCGCGCAGCTGACCCAGCCGTCTCCGCGGCCTTATATGGCCGTTCTCTCCCTCGCGGCTCGCACCGTGTCCAATCATTCCGTATCGCGCGAACGATGGTTTGGACTTGGCACAGTTGCATTCTGAGCTCTCACCAGCCCCGGCGAGCGAGTGGCACATTTTGTTCTCGCCATGTTTGGGGTCTGCCAGAGCTCTCTGGGGATGACGGGCGCCACCGGCGAGCTATGGATTGGAACCGTGCGACACTGACAGACGGACAGAAGGATAGACGGCAGATTGACGACAGACGGACGGACAGACGGGCGGGCGGCAGATTGACGACAGATGGACGGACGGACGGACGGACGGACGGAAACATGGACAGAAGAACAGATACACAGAGGCGGACAGACGGATAGACGGAGAGACGTGGGGTCAGACAAAGAGACGAACAGACGAAAAGACAGACGGACTGACGGACAGACGGACTGAGGATACATACAGACAGATGGTGAGACCCATAGACCTCTCACTGAAAACAAATCTACTCATGAGGGGAGAGTAATTCATATTTGACTCGCCATTCATGAGTATATTTGGATGAGTAACTCATGCGTGGAGCGTTAACACTCAAGAGTAAAAGTTTACTCGTTTTGAAAACTCAATTGCCCAAATGCATGACCTTCTCCCTATGAGTTGCCTGACTCATGACGCACAAAACATTGGTATCAAAACTCCCTGTTGAGTCTCGCAAACTCATGTAAGGCGAGTAAGGAATGTACTCACGACCCGTGAGTTAGTGAAACTAAACGTTTGGGTTTAAGAACTCAGGAAAAAGAGGACAGGGATTCTTGCTAACTCATTGTTCGTGAGTAATGAGTTCAAAAACCAGTTTGAAATCATTAACTCTTCAAACGCAGCTTAAGGAAACCAATGATGCGGCGGTAAATATGATCAACCGTGAATTATCCATGAGCTGCTTTACACAAGCCTTACGCGTTAATATTACCGCCATGACGCCATCTTGCATGTTTGTGCCGGAAGTGCAGCACGGGACGCGGCGGACGCAGTGAATTGGAGGCTGGAGCGACTGGTGAGTGTTAAATGTTACGCATTTTATTGCCTGTAGGTATGTTTAAGTGCAAAATGCATACCTATTTTCATTGAAAATGTACCTACATGTTCACTCACACAACACTGCTGATACCTTGGGTTGTCCTGTGGGTTGGTTGACCCTCCCAGTTATGTATTGTCTATATCATGAAAGCCTTTTTGAGGGGTTCATAATATCCATCAAAATGTGGAATATCATATCAGTCATGCTCAACATGCCCCTACAGTGAAACCTAACCTGTTATTCTACGGGCAGCTTTGCCAGCGTGAAGCCTAACAGAATAATTAAAAACATCAAGTATTTTCTTTAAGCCTTTGCCTGTAGCATCTATTTCTGCCAGCCCTTAATGCTCAAACCCTGGTGCAAACATCTATAGGTTAGGATAGGTGGTATATGTGCAAATGAAGTTCGAGTGGTAGGCATGTGGAAGGTTGTATGTTGTAAGATGTAGGCTGGTAGATTGTAGGTACCTATTTAGGTTGTAAGGTCTAGTTAGTAGGTTATAAGGCAAAGCTAGGTCAGCTTTTCATCATGTTTTTCATCTTCCTCGTAGTTCAACTAGTATTTTTGTAATAAACGACTTGTACATAATTGAATCATTTGGCCGAATCCTTCTAAAAATGAGCACCCCAAGTGCTTCTTCTAAAAGCCCACCCCTGCACCCCCCAAGAGTGAGATCTAGATACCAGGCATGGTCGAATTGATTCTATCATGATGTTCATTGTTCTCATCTCCTCAGCTGGACGGTGCCATGGAGGCCACTTTCTCAGAGAGGCGACACCTCATCGTCAAGAGGAAAATCCCGATGGCCACCATCCGTCGTCGATGAAAACAAAGTATGTACATTGTCATAGATAACATGAATCACTGTACATGGTCTGATGCGTTGTAAATTAGCGATCCTATGCAGTCAGAGTCAGGTGGTTTGGTGCATGCAACTGCAGACGCGCCTTCACCGGCTCTCAGAGTCAGTTTTCTTTCTGAAGCTCATCTTGAGTTATTATGCACCCGCCCTCATGTGTATTTTGTTTCCCTTGCGCAGTTACCGACAGACTAGGGCCAATATCCGAAAATGATCCGATCCACAGGATCCAAGAGCGCAGTTCTTCTTTCTGATTATAAATTCATCAATACTTTTTGGAGACCCTGCTGGTCCTTGATCCAACATATTTCTTTTGTCGATGAATACCGGCGATCTTGAATCTTACATTTTTGCTCTGTGGATTGCTTCTGGGGATCTTGTATCCTACATTTAGTCTCTGAGAACACATTTTTCTTGCTAAATTTCAAAATGCTTTGCATTAGCGAGGCGTACAAGGTTGTTTAAGAAGTCTTTGTGCACAACCTGCTTCGCTGGCCCGAAACTTCAAACTTAACGTTTAATTTTATGTCTACAGACATGACATTTACGTTGGATCCAGGAAATTTGAACTCTGGCATTTCGTTCTCGCGTGGGGTCCGGAATCCCTAAGTGTTATTTATACGTGCGATCCAGGGGATCTTGGATCCTAAAATTATATTATATTTTTCAATGAGATCAAGGAGATCCAGTATTCTGAAATCCTGGCATTGCATGGGATCTTGCGGATCTTGGATCTTGATTTTTGGCTGAGGCACAAATCTGTACTTATACCGACAATGCATGCATAACCCCAAGGTCATGTCCGCTGCACGGTAGGGATTGCGAGAGTTACTAATGCTACTGTAAAACAGATGTGCTTGTGTGACATCGCATTTGCATGACCACCGATAACGGAACTGGATTGGCAGTTAATTTTCAGACGCTGCAGTAAGAAGTAGAAGAATTTAAGCCGGCCATGCGAATGTCGATGGCGTCTTACTGGTATAGTCGTCCTTCAGCATGCGTCATTAATCCTTTGTTTTCAGGTCTGGAAAGAGCTGAGTCGGATAAAAAAATGCCGACTTGCAGGACACCAACGAGTTGGAACTCTCCCGGGAAGCCATGACCCCGATTGTGGCCAATGGCGAAGGTGAAAGAGCAGCTGGATGCCTCACAGATGGTAAGTTAACAACATTTTACCCGTGAATGTTGGAACCGTAACCGAATAGGTACC